AAAAAAACTAGAACAATAAAAAGGAAAAATATGAAAAATGGAAATGGTAACAAATAATAATGATGTTAAAAGATGACAAAATTTCAAGTAAACACATAAAGCAAGTCATGATATGCTTGAGTCATGAATCTATCATGCTACTTTCGTTTTATATTTGCAGAGGTATGATACAACTTCAGAAGAAGAAAATACATGAAAATGTTTAAAGTCAAAATTTCCGACAGTTAAAAAAATGTCATTTCTTTATTCCCCAAGTTTCAAACATCTTTAACTAATTATGAACTAGACTTTCGAGTTCAATAGTTTATCTCCAAATCTTAATATTTAGGTTGAGTTGGTTGGGTGTTTGACTCCTACAAGCCACTTGAAAAAATTTCCCACCCCCCATAATTCTCCCATGTACAAAAAAAGAATAAAAAAAATCTTTGACCTGTACTTACAATGTTATGGCAAGTCAGCCCCTCTACTTTAATCCATAACAAATCAGCCCTTTTACTTCACGAAATATGCATAACAGCCCTCTTAGTTAAATTTACATCATCCAAATGTTAAACCCTTCAGTTGCCCATTATAATTAATTTTTACTAAAAATTTGTGATAAATTTTAGTTATTAAAAAATAAAAAATAAATAATGAAAATGTTATATAAATATATTATATAAAATTTATTTATAAATAATTTTTTTGTTAAAATTAATTGTGAAGGGAGGGGATGATACCAATCAATGCTGACAATTATAGGATGTGTCATTTATTTAAAATCTTTGTTATTATTATAAAATAAGAGGAAAAATAGCAAGATGACAAATGAAAGGAGAGAGTTTCTTATTTCACCAAGTATTCTTACATCTACCAACATACAAATTTGTAGGCCTATATATAGGCTAAGGGACATAGGAGGTTACATTTGCCATTGAATAGGACTAAATGAGAGTATGAATGGCACCTTAATGGACTCTTGAATGGCACCTTAATGGCCCCTTTGAATGGCCTATTGAATGGCCCTTTGAATGGCCTATTGAATGGCCCTTTGAATGGCCTTTAGTAGGTGGTCAAGAATGACCCTTTAATGGTGAGGAATGAACCCCTAATTGTGAGGAGTTGCAATATGTAAAGATGAATGTGAAGGTGAAGCATCCACTAATAAGAAAAATTCACAATAGTTATCTCTTAAGTAGTCAAATAAAAGATGTCTAGTTCTACGCACTTGTCCCTCTATAATGAAATTTAAAGAATCAGAAACTAAAATGGAGCCAATCTAATTAGTATATTGGTGAGTGGTGGTTGTTTAAGGCCTAAATAGGTTGTTTTTAATATCATGGTTTTTTTACATTTGGGCCTACATGTTAATATTTTTTATATTAATTATTATTTAAAAATTAAAAATAATTTTTATTAAATTAATTATTAAATTTGTCTAATTTGTATTTAAAAGACACAAGTTAAGACTCATTATTTAAAATATTTTAAATTAATTTTATATAAATTTTCATATCAAATTCATATCATTTTACATATTTTGATTATATATATTCCATTCTATTTTATTTTTGCATTTTATATTTTATTTTATTTGAATTTATATAAAATTTTATACAAATTTAATTATAAATAGTGCAATTAATGAGATTTAATTTGTACTCTAAAGAAACAAATTAAAATTTTTTTAACTATTTAATTAAAATAATTATATAATGTTAATAATAAAATTAATATTAATTTTTATTATTTTTATATTAAATAATAAAAATATATTAATTATATTTCATATTCTAAAAACAAAAAATTAAAAAGGTTCTTAATATTTTATGAGTTTCTAATATATAAAAAAAATACGATATTTTAAGTATCCCAAGGCAAAAGAGGCTTTCCCTTATATAAAGTGGTCAGCACCCAATCAGCGCACATCATCAAGCTTTAACAGACAATTGAAGGGTTTAACATTTGGATGTTGTTGGTTTAACTAAAAGGGTTGTTATGGACTTCGTAAAGTAGAGGGCTGATTTGCCATGATTTAAAGTACAACAGCGGACTTGTCACAGCATTACAAGTATAGTGGCTGCATTATACTAATGAGCTAAATTTATATATATTAATATGAAATTTTTATCTAGATATTATTGATATTTAGATGAGTTTTATGAGATTTTACTTGATTTTACATAATTTTCATTTTTTTGTGTAAGAAAGAATTACTTAATTAGAAGAAATCATAATTCTTAGATGTAAATTGCAGAGATTAAAAACCTGAGGATTAAGTTGTGCAGAATCCAGAAGTCAGGGACTAGGACAATAATTTGACCATTAGTGATGCTTAGCATAAGGTGTCGGCACCTTGTTGAAGGTGTTGATCCCTTATGTGATTTTCACAAAATCTGTGTTTAATTTATTATTTTGGATGTGGGTCTTACTTCTATTCCAATTAAAATTTCTCTTCTCATCTAAGTTTACAATTAGGGAGAGCTTTAGGAGGCTGTGGCAGTCATTTTTTGGATATTCTTGGAGATTAAGATAGAAGATTTATCAATAATAGAAAATAAAGAAGTTCAATTTTTTCAAATTGGATTTTATTCTTTTTGATATTCTAATATTCATAACTATTATTTTAGATTTGACTAATTTATTTTATTAAGGCTATGATGTAGCCTAACCAATTTAATATAGATTCTGTGATTCTTATACTTTCAATTAAAGTTATTCATGATGAGTTTATATTATTAAACTTAATGCATTGAAAGCTTAATCATCTTTTGATTGATTTAGTGATTTATGCATGAATTTGAGAAAGAATTGCGTAAATTGGACCAATAATAATATAAACCGTGTGCTAAACTATGAGACCGAGAGATCATTAGCGTTACATGTGGTAGTGGAGGAAGAGAAGAGAGTTAGGAGCTCTCCCTTCTTAAGCTAGAGGTTTCCATAAAATTTAATAGTTATTAGTTTGTTTTAAATTATATAGAAATATGATTAATTTAACAAACAAGTGAATGATTAACTTAACTTGAGAAAACTAGTTAATTAATTTAGAAAAATCCACTATCACATGCAATAACACTCAACAAATTGGTTTTGGAAGCATATTAATTCATAATTTATATTGATTGATTATGGTGAAATCGATACTTTAATACCTCATATCTTTATTAGTTTTATTTTACTTGTTATTTTTTTAATTATTTTTAATTAAAGTTTCTTCCTTCTCGATTGTTCAAATAAATTTAGATTAATTATGTTGGTACTTAGTTAGACAAATCCTCGTTGGTTTGACACTCTTCTCATCATTATATTACTTAAAGCGACTACTACACTTACTAAAGTGATTTTAGCACATCATGCACCTTCTGCCATCTTGAAATTAGTGGGTTCATACCTCAGATTGATTTCAATTCACCTTCTTAGTATAGTGTATATCTGTTTGAAGAAGGGGAGCCTTAATTCATTTCCTCAATTAATGGGTTGCCTGATTTTAGTTTTAACCATGTTCATGTGCTCTTTAGGTGTCCACGACCAAGGACTCAAATTCTAGGAAGTTTCGATAGATGACCCTACACAAATCAGGAAGATTATTAGGGAGCATTACTTAACCAATTCTCCTTTAAACCTCAATCAAGACCATCACTGCAGCACCTTCAATTTAACAAATTATATAATATGGAAAGGAAGAAGCTTCATGAGACAGAATTCATTGTTGAGGAAATCAGAAAAGCAATATCTTCTTGTGCCAGTGATAGAGCCCCTGGACCTAATGGGTTCAATTTTCATTTTATCAAGTCAATTTGGAGCATAATTGAAGGTGATATTGTTAATTTTGTCAAAGAATTTCATCAGAATGGAAGACTGCTTCAAGGCCTCAATGCATCTTACATTACTCTAATGCCTAATTAAAAGAAAAACCCCACAACCTTGCAAGAGTACAGGTTGATCAGTATGGTTGGATGCCTTTGCAAAATTCTAGTGAATGTTATAGCAAACAGGTTACAAAATGTCATTGGCAAGATTATTAATTTGAGCCAATCTACTCTTTTGAAGGGGGGACAGCTTGTTGATAATGTTCAAACTCTTAATGAAATGGCACATGACTTGAAAGGAAAAAAGAATAAAGGGCTCTTTTTTAAAGCGGATTTTGAAAGAGCTTTTAACACAGTGGATTGGAGCTACCTGGATTCCATACAAGCCATTTTGGGTTTTGGAGATAAGTGGCGGAGTTGGATGAGAGTGTTTATCTTCAACTTCCATGTCTATTTTTGTAAATGGTTGTCCAACGACATAAGTCAAAATGCAAAGAGGGATGAGATATGATGACCCTCTCTCGGCTTATCTTTTTTAATAGCTATTGAAGGTTTGCATGCTCTTTTCTGCAAAGCTAAAAGGCAAATCCTTCTTGAAGGTGTGGTTATCGATGAGAATTTTTCTATTTCTCACCTCCAATTTGCTAATGACACAATTCTCATTGGGGACGCTTCACTTAAATCCATGAGGGTTTTCAAGTTTCTTCTTAAATGGTTTGAAATTGTTTGTAGCCTCAAAATCAACATCAGCAAAGGCACATTATTTGGAGTCAATGTTAAAGAGAGATGGCTCAGGATGGCAGACTTTGCCTTAAATTCCAAGCATGGGAACCTACCTTTCATTTGTTTGGTGCTTCCGGTTGGTGGTAACCCACGTAGAATTAGCTTTTGGAAACTAGTGGTGGAGAAATTTTGATCTAAGTTGGTAGCCTGAAAGGGTAGATTCCTGTCATTCGATGGACGCATTACTTTTCTCACATCAATACTTTTTGCTCTCCCCTTATTTTATTTTTCAATTTTTAAGGTTTCTTAGTTAAAATTCAAAAAAAAAAAAAACCTTTTTATGGGGGTTTCGGATAATCATACTAAAAAAATTACCTTCTTAATAAAAAAAATGTTTTTTTTTGTGTATATATTTAAGAAGATATATGCACTTATTATTTTAATAAGAGTTATTAAAAAATTTTAATTATTATTTATATATTATAAAAAACATTATTTAAAATTACATAAAAAATATTTTAAAACTTCATATTTTAAAACAAAAGGAGTATGTCATATATCGGTCTTCGAAAAACTATTTTTCACAAACCAAAAAAATTACTTCAGACATATTGTGTAACTCACCCCTTTGAGTTTTATTTTAATGAATAAAATTTTCGATGGACAATAAAATTAAGTTTGCTCCAAGATTTGACAGTTATTTCCCAAGATCCCCATCTCCACGGTTGCATAATAGCAGCACAAGACTTTTAAAACTTGTATTTTGGGGCAAAGATGTGATTTTCTAGTCTTCACGTTGCACAACAGTAGCACAAGTACCGCAAAAGCTAGAATATTATGGTGGGGCAAAAGATTTGTGAAAGGGAGAATTAAAATTAACCAACCCTCCTGCGTGCACGCTTGGCACTCATTAATTGAGTTGACTTAAGACCAAAAAGACTTTCAAGTCTTGGAAAAATTACTCAAGTCATTAAGATTTCAAAAAGCTAAGAGAGGATAATCGTTTATTCCGAATCTTTTTCTTTAGAGTAACTTAAGGAATAATGTTTTACCTGTCTAATACTCATCCGTGGTTCTATATCTAAAATTTTTTTAATTAAGTAATAAATATAGATTATATTTGAGTTTTACACTCTAATATAATGACCAAAACTTTTAATTAAGTAAGAATTACCTTTTGTAGGTTGAACCTTCTAACTTCACTGATCTTATTCTCCCTTCCTCCAATTTACCCTGATCACAAATATAAATTATATTTTATCTATATCTAAAAGTACTCACCGTGAATAATAGAAATAGGAAATATTAATTTACCACTACTCATAATTTCTTTTCATTTGAACTGCAATTTTTATAATTCAACTAACATAAATGCCCAAGAAAAAAGAAAAAAAAACAATAATTATTCTTAATTTCTAAGGATGTGTTTAGTGTATAGAAGTTTGTGGTGAGTAGTTTGTAGTTTGAAATTTAAACTAAT